GGACATCTCCAGTGGGCCCGGGGTTCCTTGTTGTCCTTTTTGGAATTTGAAGAGCAGAACCCCGTTTGATCAATTCTCAAAGGACGGGGGCCTCTCTTTTCCGGGTCCACCGGAGGTTTGGGATGTCCTAGAATTCGAATCAACAGGATCTGACCAGTTCAAATTCTGTTTCGCCCGTCTTTGGGAGCGAACCTTTAGCCAAGGTCCCACAAGATGAAACTCTGAAACCATTGGGCGGCTGGGTTCCCCTTTGCTGGTTTTAGGCATCAGCTTTTGGGCCAATTGGCAGTGAGTTGGCCTGGGTGATTGGTGGGAGCCCCGAGTGCGCACTTAAATGGCAAGCAGGCAATTCGACACGGTGTCAAGCAGGGTGCCCTTCTTGAAATCTCTACTTGTTTATTTTTTGCAGAATTTGCGGAGGCCCTTTTTGGTGCTGAAAAGGAAAATCAGAGGCTCTGCTACGTAGTTGAAGCCCCCACTTCCTGGCTTCCTTGTCCATTTCACCGTTCTACGTCATCCTCAAGGCAGGCTCATCAGATCCAGCTTCTGACTTTGCCCATCGAGGAAGTCAAAATTAATGTTCCTCCAATCGTCAGGAAGCCCGGCCCCTAGAAGGGCAATGGATGATCTAAAGACACAAATGCTTTGGGCCTTGTTGATCTGAAACAAGCAAGTTGCAACCGGACCCCGTTTGGTTGGGCTTTAGTTTCAATGTGTGTCACTGTGTAGCTGGGTACCAAGTTGTACCAGATTCCCTCATATTCCGATTTGTGTTTTCTATTTGTATGTTTTACAATTTGAAGATCCATTGCTTCAGGCATTCTGCATGTCCCCTTTCAACCGGCAAACAGTCGTCACGTTTTTGCAGGGGTCCACTTGTCGCAGGTGTCCCTTTATTTGTGGTTTGGGGATTTGAGCCCGTCTCGAGTTTTGGATCCATAGGCTTCCTCAACGGCCCTTGCGCCGAAGGACTGGGTGGCAAGGCTGCGGTACGTTGTCTTCGACGAGGCGCTGGGGGAGGGGGGGGAAGACAGGGCACTGTGCATTTTCATTGGACCCTCAACGGAACACTCAGAAATTTCTATCCGAAGCCCATGTTGTGGGTTTTCTATGTCTGGCAAAGAATCAATTGACTTTTATTCCCAGCTCTGAAAACGACGCTTTGGAAGGGGAAAAGCAGGGCTCTAGGGCTGTCGGCTTCATTTCAAAATGAGCTATTAAACCATAGAGGTTCGCATTTTGACACCTCTGGTTCCAAATGGTCTAGCTGTACCTCCCTTGCGATCCTTTTTGTATGAGTTGCCTAAACCCAAGTTGTTCGTGCGGTTTCCCAAACGAATGGTCGCCTAGGTTTTCGCTCTGGGATCTGAGGCGCGATGTAAAGCCTGCGAGTTGAACTTCCCACATGGGCCCTCAAATTGAAGTGTTGGTTGCGCAATTCCCCAAACGAATGGTGGTTCATTGGGATGAAATCTCATGCTTTTACCCTATCCCAATTGCTACTATAGTAGGAAAGCAAAGATTCCCTCTCGTGTTTGCAGCCTGATTCCCTTGGGCATCCACTGCGCTGGTAAATGGAGTCAAAGGTTTAGTCATTTGCAAAAGGCTTTATCCAGTTATGCAGTGTGATTCCACCTGAAGATTATGTTTCTTAGCTTCTCCACACAAATGGGTTTCCAGCCGACCAACAAGGAAGGGTTTCAACATGTTCCGAATGTTCCAATGTGCTTCCTACCTCTTTGCTGACTGGGTGACGCAACTGCGTTCTCAAAACAAGAAGCGGTCACCCCACAAGGATTGAACCCGGTACCTCCTGTCAACTGGAGCATGTTTGGTTGCCTCCTCTCCCTCCTCTTCCTCGTCTTCCTCTAGTGGTAACTGGGATTTGCAAGAGGTCAACTTTTCACCAAGCGTCCAGGTGCACTGCATCGGCGAGCAAGAGGGCGGGGTGCAGTGGGAGCACTGCATGCAGGCGATCGAGTGAGAAATCGAGACATCGCAGGTCTTCAGGGAAATCCCCAATCGGTGGTTTGGGGACAATTCCTGGTTGCGCAGGGCAAATGGGCTAAGTCGTCCCTAGCCTCACCACAAATTCCACATTGCCAGGTACAGGGAAGCTGAGGTCTGGCTCAAAATGCGCTCCCTCACAACCCGGGTACCCGCTTTTGTCAATCATGGAAGTGGAGAAGGGACTTTTTCAAGAGGATGGTAGCGTTCCAAAGCCTTCCGGTCCACTTGGGTGTGTCTTTGTTTAGGGGACCCCAAAATGTGTGATTGTCCAATGGTGTTCCTTTACATTGACAAAGCAGTGGCACCCTGAAAAAACCACACACCCACTTCATGATGGATGGATGAACGCCTGGGGACAGTCTTTTCTGCTGTGGATCTCCGCAGAATATGTTTTGTTCCGTGGGCTTTGGGCAGACTCGTTTGATATGAATTTGACTTTGGAAACCCCTCAAAAGTGGCCAGTGGACATAACACCCCATGCAAGTGCTATCCACCAGACAACAGAGGGCCGCATTGGATTTCGTACTCTCGTGAAATTGGGGAGCCACTCTGAAATTAGTGTGTGTTTTCCCCTCAATCGACTGAAACTTTGCGTCTCGTATTTTGCGACTCCTTGCTACGGCTTCAAATTGGGCTTTGGGTCTGTTCAACTGGGAAAAAAGAAAAAACTGGATTTATGGCAAAATAATCAACAAAAGGGAAAAATGTGAGAAGGAAAAAACAACGACAAAAGGAACACCCGGAAAGAATGGGTTTAAGGCGCGCCATATCCTGTGAGACAACCCGCCAATTGGATTCCAAATGGTTTGTTTCCTGTTGGTGTCCCTTGAAAATTGATCATACTGTTCCAAACAAGTTTTGCCAACGACTCATTTGTGTTAATGGGAGGCAAACCTTCACTGCATGGCTTCCTTTTGGTCCCCTCCCGAGAAAGGCAAAGCCGCCTGCCCGCGTCTGCACTCGGTTTGCCATGGCCGTGGGAGCTTCGGGGTCAATGCTTGGAAGCCCCCAACGAAAAGTTGCCCTTCTTGTTACCCTTGAACGCCACCCAACAACGGGCAGATAAAAAAAGAAGACATGCATCAGCTGTGGCTCCCTCCCCTCACATCTTGCCGCCGTTCGCCAGCTGATCCCGTGCCCCTTCATCGCGCTGAGCGCTACGGTGGCGGACCCCAGCGTGTTCCACAACTGGCTGGGCCCGGACTCCCAGCGCAGCGGGATAGTTGGTGGGTGGGTGGGTGGGTGGGTGGGTGGGTGGGAGGAACGTGCCCCCACCCGATGTTTTAGGTGCTTAAATTATTGGAAGGAAGGCCAAACTTAGGTGACGACACAGAGCTTAGATCTTTTTGGCCGATAGAACAAAAAGGTGAGTTGGTCGACGGTTTCTAACCACTCACCAAATCATGGAGTTGTTTGGGCAGGTGCACCCAGCCAAGACTCATTAGAGAACTACTTGGGCCCTGAACATGTTCCGGTATCCTTTTGCAGATATGAAAGAACAAGCTTGGCCTCCACATGGTGGCAAACGGAAGGCGTTTGTTGGGTGGAGGTCATTCCAATGGGAATCGGTGGAGACTTGGTATCCTTTCGGCATCCCTTGCAACAAGAAGGGGGGATGAAGTTGCTTCCCACCTTTTGGGACCCTGTTTGAGCTGGGGTTTAAGATACCAAGAAGCTGCCTCGAAGATGCGATGTGTTACTGAAGCGGAAGCTCACCAAGCGCCCGGTTTCCATTTGAAAAAATGGTTTCCCTTCAAAGGCCCCAAAAAGGGGACCATCTCCATGCCTTCCTGGATGGCTGTTGTGGACAGGCAACTGAAAGGTATCATTTTCCTGGAGAAAAGATAGCAGAGACGGGGTGGTGCACTCAAGCGGCATGAGGTCCGTGTGGTTGATCATAATTTGCTTGCCCACGTTACAGTGAGTTCTTTCTTTTTAGTCAAATGTTGAATCGTGAGCCACCCTGCTAAGAAGCCCCCAGTTTGGGGTGGTGTTGGTCTGCCTGTTTGAACCCCCCCCCAAAGAGACAACAAGTGCAAGCTGCATGCGCTCGGCTTTCAGCAGAGCGCATCCCAGAAGTGCAAGGAGCGCAGGCGCAGCTTTCCTCAGCTTCTTCGGGCTTCATGGCCGCACCTTCCGACTCGAATCGCGCCGAGGCCGGGTCAACGAAAAGAAGGAGCTCGCCAAGGCAGCGGGAGGAGCGAATTTGTCCGAGCTCTTTTTCTTTCTTTCTCTTTTGTTTCCCTTGGGTTTTTGTTCTGGGTTTCCCTTCGGTTTCCCGGTCAAACAACGCCAAGTCCAAAAGCTGAACATGAACCCTCTTTTGGCGGGGACCCCGTTCTTGTGCTTACATTTTGCGGGCTCAACGTTGCTCTTGCGACCCGGTGGTTTCCCTCTAAATCGGCATGCAGAGATATCACTTTAATGGGGCGCGGGTTCTCCACATTTTCCAGTTTTCCCATGTTTCCACCAAGAGGAAACTCATCGGCACAAAGGTGATGTTTAACACCACCTGTCTCTTTCTTCGGACTGCACCCCACGTGTGAGTGCAGCCCGAGTCCGTTCTCCTTAGCGCGGCGCCCGAAGGCGCTCTTTGTGAAACCTCCGTCTCGTCCACTGTGACTCGACGGTATCCCCTTCTTGCAAAGGGATGGAAATCATGCGAATGTCTGCAACCAAAGTGAGCAGGTCCCCAATGATGACAGGGCAACCTGCCTTGTTGCGAAGTGCTTGCGTTATGTCTTCGTGGAAAGGGAACCACGGCCTTTTCTGAAGACCGGGTCGTGCCTGGAAGAAACCGAGGGCCCGGAGGCTTTGAGGTCTGCTGCAAGTGTTGCAAGGGAATAATTCGACACCCAAGATTTTTCCCAAGGCCCGCAAACTTTTCTCAAAGCTAATCATACGCTTATGCGTAGTCGGCTTAATGAGTTTCACCGCTTCATTGTGTTCTGGCAATGTGAAGAGTGGTCGATCATCAGTGCCAAGGTTAACTGGGATATCCGACTCAGTGCTCATTTGAAAGCTGAGAAACAGCTCAATCCATGAAACACCCCATTAATCTTCCTGGACGTGAGGTGCCCAGCGAAGAGTGGAGACCCAGTGATACAGCCTAAGCATATACGTAATTCCCCAAAACGCGATGTTTTGGGAACCCCGTGTCGGGAGAACCACGGCGGCTCTTTCCCAAATCGAAACGGGTCCGCTTGGCTAGGTGTCCATAATAGAACACCGGGAGCGGTGGAACGCGCCTGGGCTGCATCCCATCTGCAGGTGCTCCAGGCCACTGGCCTGGCCAGGTGTTTCCGCTGGTTGTGGGTGTGTCTTTTTTTTGATGGAGCCGCTTCTTTCGTGGTTCTGGTTCGCTTCTTTTGTTGTTTCAAAGGAACCCCAAAAAGAAACCCACCGCTTTCGCGGTGACAACGGGAAACCAAAAGGAAGACCACCATACATGATCCTGAGAGCTTTCCTGTGCAGCGTGATGTGTGTTCGGGGAGGTATGAGGGTTCCCCTGATTTGAGCGGCTCAACGATTTTAGTTCGGGAAACGTAGATGGCAGGGATGGTCATCAACCGTTTGCCAGGTATACGTGGGTGTGTCGTTTTTTGATGGCGCCGCTTCTTTCGTGGCTATGGTTCGCTTCTTTTGTTGATTCAAAGGAAAACCAAAAAGAAGCCCACCACTTTCGCGGTTAAAAAGGGAAACCAAAAGGAAGACCGCCCTTTTGTGGGTCCCCTAGAGACAAACCCAGGGAGCCTTAAGTGAGGTCCCGTCCTCTAACAGGACCTCCTGGTTTCATGTTGGGAGCAGCCAAATCGCCATTTCTCAGGATCTCTACAAGTACGTTTGGCACAAGGGGGAGCTGAG